TTTAAATACAGGGCCTATAAGGTCTCACTATACAGATCAGACTCATAGTGAGCCTCCTGTTTTTAGCCTCCCAAGCATTCGGATTACAGGTGCACGCCACCACGCCCATTCTCAGTCACCATCTCACACCCCCCACCCCTGCCACACTACCTAAGCAGGCACTTTAGTCCGCTGAGCTATCTGACCAGCCAGATCACATGGGATTTAGAACTTAACTCCTGCCCCCAACCTTTTCATTGGAATTGATAACTTTCAACGTGTATATTCCAAATAGAAGAAAACAGACCCCGTGGGCCATCACCCTGCTTCAGCAATGATGTGTGTCTTGCCACTGAGAGCCATGGAGGTTAGATTGGAACCAGAGTGTGGGGAACTCATTTCTCAGCTGCAGAAGAAAGTGAGCGCGGTCCTTGAAGATTTTTGAGCAGGATGTAATAAAAGCAGGGTGGAGGGGGCTCATCTTACCCTGTGGATGTGGTGCTGGGTCAAGGCTTTCTCCACCTGCACCCTAGAAGAGCTGCAGAGGGTGTGCATGGGCAGAGCTCCTCCACACCCCCTGTGGCTGCTCCTCTTGTGGTTCGCCAGAGTCATGGAAGCAAATCCAGAATGCAAGTGTGGCCCCGTGAACGTGGTTCAGAAGATTGGGCACAGAGATGGCCATGAACACGTCCTGGGAGCATGATGCCACTGAACAACTAAGTTCACAACTATGGCAGTGTTCAGTGCTGACTGTGCGGACCATGGTGTCCACATCCCCCTGCCAAGTTGGGAGGTAACGGAGGTGTGACAGGAGCAGTACTTCGTCATGTGTACTTTCTCTAAGACCAGATTCTAGGGGCTCAGGTGCCCTGACTCCTGCGGATCTGCCTTAAATTGATCCAATGTCCCCAAAAGTAGGGACTTTTTTTGTTATTAGCCAATTAAAAAACAAGAAATTTTGTGTTTTCCTTAAGATGTCACAGAGGAGTACCTGACTCCAGGTGACCCATGTCACCTGGTCAACTTCCTTTCTTGGTAGGAATAATGAGTGAGCATTACTGGCTGCCCCACCTCTGGCCAGCTCTCCTCCTTCCCTCCCCTCGCTTTCCGTTCACAGAATTTAGCATCTGCTGTCCTCCTCCAACTCAGTTTGTATATTCCTCTGCTCTTCCTGGTGTATTCATTTTTGATTTGATTACTAGTCAGCAGCCACCCAGAGAAGCAGAGGTGGGTTTACTGAAGCCTGACATGGAAACAAGAATTATATTCCCTGACCTGCCTACAAAAAAAAAAAAAAAAAAAAAAAAAAATTCCATTTAGGATTTCTAGCCCCATCTTATCCCCAAGCTTGATGGGACATAGATGCTCTTACCTTATCCCAGTCCCTTTCTCCTTTCTCCTGGGCCTGATTTGACTAAGTAGGTGCCTTTAATCTTGTTTGCACCTTGGTAAACTGGAGCTCCTCCATAGAAAAAGCTGACTTACTCCGAGAACTACCCTCAGGCCAAGTAAATCCTGGTGTGCTGCTGCATATGCTGGAATGTGCAGTGCTCTTGGGTCTTAGGATGTCGCATGAGAATGGAGCTAATGAGGCCAATTTCAGGGGCTTCCTTGCTCTACAGACCAGGTGCTGTTCTTTGGGCCCAGCTCTTAAAAGTACGTAGTGTGTGCTCCATTCCTTAAAGCTGGCAGCCAGGAAGCAAGAGCTGAGAGCATCTGCCCTGCCCTGCCCTGTCGTCTGCTCGGCCAGAGTGTGCTGTCAGAGGATGGGTAGAAACAGTGGGGAAGCGTAGGGGCTCCTCACACTGCCCCAGACTTTCAGATCTGGGGTGCCTTTGATAAGAGAAAACAAGGGGAGAGGTGACTGGGTCTGTACAGGTTCCCGACCTCCAGCCTCTTTTCCTTCTCTTCCCAAAAGAAAAA